TCCGTGTAGAATCCCTACCAGGTCTACATGAGGTTCTAATCGGAACTTCGGAATTCTCGTGAACGCGCTCAGTAATCTTAATCTTATAATTCAATTTTCATACACACTTAACACCTACTAAGAGAGTACACGTAATCTCGTGCACACACACAAACACACACAAACATACACAAACATTCACGGTGTAAAGCCCAAGGTCAGTATCTATGAGCTCCACCCAATCGGATATGGTAGCGATGAGGAGGGGGATCCTAAACTCGGTGCGATTGGTGAAAATGACGATGGTTCGAAGGTGAAACTCACTCTCCACGTCGAAGGTATTTTTCAGCCTGGAAATGCACACGAGATTGAGCTCTTCACAAATGTGCCACACGGCTCTGAATGTGTGTGTGGAGACAAGCTCGAACACAACGAGATTAAGGTATCGTCCAAGCTGGTTGATGATAAGTCCGATTTTATTGACTTGATGTTCACACAAGATGGAGATGTTGGTAAATTCGAAATTGAGGTCCCTTATGATTCTGAAGCTTTTACAGCGGTAAACGATCAAAATCCGAAGATCGGGTTTTTTGACGCCTGTGAGTAACGTCTTTCAACATTGTTTTTGATGTTCCGCTGTTCGATAGAACTTTGTTTCCGACTTAACCACTCATGTTCTTTTGTTGCATTCTAGGTGCTCGGGTTTCCTACAAGCACAACGATTTATACGAGCAGGAGTTTGCGAACGACAACATGTGCCACCTTTACGATCTAAATTACGTCTCCTTCGTCGACACACATTTTTCCGTCGAATTTAATAAGGAAGGAAATTTCCAGACTTTTGAGAAAGAATCCATAAAGGTTGTGACGCCCTACATAAGCATGAATGATGAAGATGAAACCACTCCAGTCGCTTTGGAAGCGTTTCTGTGCGGTCCGGACGGTTCGGGAAACCCAAACCGTGCGTACAAGATAGGTCAAGACTTCGCCATCTGCGTCCGTCCTGTTGCTGAAGCGATCAGGAATGTAGAAGCTGATGGTGGCTTTATTGCTGTGGATGGATTTGATTTTGTATTGTGTGCCGATTCTTTGGTAGTGAGTTCTGGTGAACATAAAGACTTGACAGATGTCATCACCGATGTCGACGATTACATTCGGATCACTGACCAGGGTGATTTAGAGAATGCAGGAACTCATGCTGCAGCTTTCAAAACCGTACTTACTCCAGAAATTTTTTATGGTAGCTATGCAAATGGCGATGGCGTCACACACGATTTTTCTTGCGCAGGCGTTGCGACCATGGGCTATTCTGACCCCTCGACCAACGGCCGCGATCGCTTGCGCCACCTCCAAGAAAGCGGTAAGAAGGAGGTAACCAAGTTCTCGTTCGGCACCAAGATTCTTGTCTCGCGAGAGGACGAAGATGTGGATTCCATCTTTGGAGATCTAGCGGCTCCGGCAGCAGACACCGGCGCTGTATCCAGCATCTCGATTGCAACCGCCGCCGGAGCCCTTGCCGTTGCCGCCCTGGTCTGATTTTCAACAAACACCCGTTCTGCTCAGAACCGCTGTTTGTTAAGAATCAGACAAGCTTGAAAAGACACCGAGACTTGAGACTTCTCCCCCAAAAAGATTTGTTAGAAAGAGAAAAAATATTACACACTATTCCAATCAATGCATGTTAAGAAAAAAACAAAAAATGCTATCCAGCCGCCCCTTGTGGCGTGAAACAAAACAAAAGAAACAAAAAAATCTAGTTGCGTACACTATTCCAATCAATTCATGTTCAGGAGCTGAAAGACACACGGCTGCGCTGCCCGGCCCGCCCATTGAGGCGTGAAACAAAAAAAAAGAAACAAAAAAATCTAGTTGCATATCAAAACTAAGGAATAATGATTTATTTTTTCTTACGGTAGAAGTTTGCTATGAAGTGAAAAACGAGCGTTATGAAAATGATATGAATAAAACGCGTAAATTTCATTGGTATTTGGCTGCCGGGGGGATGTTGTCCTTCCTCTTTTTCGACACGATTCTGTTTTTGGATCCTGGCGCAAACACTGCAGAGACGGGGACCGGACCCGCCGTGTGAGCATCGGCATAGGGGACGGGCACACACACACACCCGGTGTCTCGGAGGCAGCGGTTGCGGTGTCGGTTCCCCCGGGCGACTAGGGCCCGGTCCGTCGTTGCAAAGAAACGGCCGGTGCCCGTGGCGTGGCACCGCTGCGGCAAGCGGGGGTCCGTCGTCCCCGGGGAGGAAGGCTCCCGCCCGATCCGTTTCGACCCGATCCGGACGCGACGGAGGATGCCGCGGTGGCAGCACGCTTCCGCTTCCCGTCCGCACCGGCGTGCGGACGCGATGGCACCCCCGGCACCCTCCCAAGCCAAAAGCCACGCAAGAAACTGCGAGCGGTACCGCATCGGGAATACACCGACTGTTAAGCAACCCGTCGAAGCATCCTCCGCATCGGCAACTCGAATCGGTGTGCTCCATACCAGCGAGCGTGCTTCCTTCCTCCGTAAATGAGTTGACTATTCGTAAACAATGTAATCATTCTACACAAGACATGCTAGAACTAGCTAATGTAGCTACTACTGTTACTAGCATCGCACCGTAGGATAGGACTAGCTTTCCTCGATTGAAAAAAGTATCCACCGACTGGGCACTGTATTGGTTACGACAACAAAAATTGTATCTTGGAACCGCTTGTTACCATCTTTGTTGTCCAAGGGGGGCTGATCTTTTAGAACATAAATCTGTCAATGATAGCATCAAATCTATCTTTGCTGCATTGTTCAGCACTAATTGATGAAAGAGTAATGTTTTGCAAAGAACCAGAACACAAAACGTTGCATTGGTCTGGTCCCAAACACCCATTCCAAAGGCAATAAGTTATGTCCCAACAACTGGAAAGAATTCATCACCATTCAGTTCCATCTTGACATACGACTCATTGACAATCACAGTTTTGCTGAACAACTTGTTGAGAGCGTAGTAATCATTACTAAGATTTTTACCGGGATTATACTATCCGTGGGTAAGCCATTGCTCACAGATTCAAAAAATCTTTTTTCTTTCATAATCCGTTTCTGCAACAACATTGTTCACAACATCCAAAAATGATTGTTTGTTCTCGCAATGTGCTGCACTGAGGACACTGTTGGGTACAATGATTGAGCCACCACAAGAACCAGGTACACGTTTCACTTTGTCCAAGTGCTGAAATTCCAGCTGGACATGATGAATTTCTTGTCAATCCTTCTTTTAGAAAAGGGGCACTGTTGTATCTTCAAAGGAATGGAGGAGTGGTTCTGTTGCCAAAGCATGTGTGCAATAACGAACCATTCAGAAATTTGAACACTTAATTTTTGAACACTTGGAAGTTTGAGCACTCAATGTTTGCTCAAAATTGAGCAATGAAAAATTTCATTGGTAAGGGAGTAAAAAGAAGGCAGGGAAGAAACTATTATTCCATTTAGTGAAGGGGTACAGTGTCTTGAACTGAATGGAGTCATTGTTTTATAACCAAAGTGTGTATGAAGAAATGAACTACTAAGAAATTTGAGCACTCAATCTTAGAGCGCTTGGAAATTTGACAAAATTGAGCAATACTCTTCATGTTCTCTTTGATTCAGAACAGTTGAAAAGACAAGCAAACTAGGAAGGTTTAGTAATTCAAAAGTATATCAATCCGTTATAGTAGTTCTCTAAGTCAGCACAGCTGCAAAGATTAGCCAACTAGGAATTTAATGCAAAAATATGAAATCACCAATGAAGGATGGTCTCCAAAAATAATCTTCAAATCCTGAAATGGAACCTCAGCAGAGAAGTTTCAACAAGAGGCCCAATCAATTGCAATGAGAAGAGTTGACACTAGTAGTGGGATACCCAATGATGGATTGAAGTTTTGAGAAACTGTTTGTTTTTGCTCTGGAGACTTTGTTTATCAATCTTCTTAATCATTTATTGTAGTTGGCAAAGAGAGAAGGTTCTGTTGAGGAACTATCTGTGATCATATTGAAGCAACTTGCTTATGCCAATTAGTAAGTATCAAGATAAGCCACTGAAAAAGTAGTCCACTGACACACAAAGTATGTAGTTATTATTTCGTCATGTGATGTGTTGGGAATCAACCAATAGGAGTGAAAGAAATAGTGAGCATTTGCATGGTGTATGTGTAGCACATGACTATCAACAATTTACTGCTTAGTACCCTGAATATTATGAGTACTACTACTGCTGGATGAGACACCCAGCATGCCATCTACTAGAGCCACTAAAGGCGAGCCCCATGCTGGCAAGTAATTGGCAGCAATGTAATGGCTGTCAATTTTTTCATTTTCCTGTCTCTATTCCTCCTCCCCCCCCCTCCACACCAAAAGAAGTCGAAGTTCATTAATATTTCTATTAGGATACCTTACTACTGAGGATGCAATATCAGATGTTAATACTTCAAAATTTCTGTCACCTTTTGCTACTGGATAGCACTACTATTAGAGCCAGCAAGAAATTAAACATTCAAATTTTTTTCTTTTTGTCCATACAGCAGTCTCCGTCATTTTTTTAACTATAAAAATGAGCTAAAATTTCAAATAGGAGTGTTTGTGAAGCCAATATCTTGCCACCATGGGGCTTACTACCTTTAGTAGTAGCTATAGTGCTATCAGTAGAATTTTCTAGATCTGCTCACCAATGCATGGTACAATTAAGCTTTTTTGTTAATATGCTTTGCATGGGGTATTTGTATTTAATGCAACAAAAATGAAACAGTATAAAATCATATACAAAGTAAAATTCTACATATGTGTGCTTTGTTCATATCATAGTGACCAAGTAAACATCATGAGGAGGAGCACCAACTGATGCACATTAGTTGAGAAGAAATATTCACATAGCTCATAGTCAATTTCCATAAAATTTCCTCAGAAAAAACAGACACAATGACAGTAATTATTGAAAATTGACAATCATCAACACCAGCATCTTCTTAATGTGGATACTCATCTTGTTGGCTGCTGTATTAAACTTGCTCCTGTTGTTGAGGATAGCAAGCAAAAAGCAGCCACAGTTTAAATATACACAGTACTACTATTTTTATGGTTATTTAAAAAATAATAATATTATATTTAACCTCGTGAACTAGAAGAGGCACTAAGATGGCCAGAACCATAGCTTTTTTTAGAAAGAATGCTTCTAGCTGCTCCAATGGGCGGCGCCTCCCTCCAAGGAGGTTTTGTGGAGACGCGACCAAGTTTTATGCACACTGACAAGCCAATTAATGCAAGCTGCTGGAAAATTCAGAGGACATAAGAACAAATGGGTCACAGTTTGGATGGATGGGAACCATGCCATTATCATTTCGAAGTGCACTGCCAAGCCTGTAGGTTGGGGGGCCTCAATCCCCAACCTGTAGGCAAGTTCCCATGTGCAGTGATCATCAAAATGGGTGTCAAGCACACTGGCAAGCCAATTAAGGCAAGTCACACCCCAGTGTGCAAGGACACATGTAGTCAAAAAGAAAAAAAGAAAATAAAAGCCAAAAAGAAAAAAGGAAATGTCACACTTCTTTCACCAAATTACAGCTGAGCCCGCCCAAAGGAGCTGCTGCGTGAATGTCTTCTTGAAGAAGACACTGGTAATAAATCCATTAACCCTGCCACTGCTGGTCAGGAGGTCAAATACTGGGGGTGTTGCCGTTTCTGTCTACCACATAAGACAGGAACAACAACAGTCGTGCTGTTGCTTTCCGGCATGGAGGTCAGAAACAACAGCAATCGTGACTGGAAAGCACTGGGGCTTCCGGTCCTTGAGAACTGGGGATGGATCCAGCTGAGGCAAAGCACTCAGCTTGAGTAACTGGGGTTGGTGTTCTTGCGTTCCGGCAAGAATGTCGGAATCAACAACAATTGTGACCGGAAAACACTGCAGGTACAAAACACTGCTAGTAGTGCTTCCAGTCCTTTAGAACTGGGGATGGATCCAGCTGAGGCAAACTCAGCTGGGGGGATTGGTACTGGGGTTGGTGTTATTGCTTGCCGACAAGGGTGCCGGAAACAAAAACAACAACGGCGTGACCGGAGAACTCTTCCGGTCCGTAAATTACTGCTGGAACTGCATGGAGATGCTGGGGAATCTTCTTTAAAACTGAGTATGATGTAGCATAAACTCCAAGCTTTGTTCTTCAAAGGATTGGTCTTGGTTGAATACTGGGGGGGGTTGTTGTTATTGCTCTCCGACACGGATGCTGGAAACAAAAACAACAACAACGTCATGACCAGTTCTTCCGGTCCATAAAATACTGGAACTGCATGGGGATGGAGATGCTGGGGAGTCTTTGGAACTGAGTATGATGTAGCATATACTCCAGGCGTTGTTCTTCACTAGGTCTTGGTTGAATACTGGGGGSTGGGGTTGGTGTTATTGCATTCCAGCACAAATGTTGGAACCAACAACAACCGTGACCAGAAACCACTGGTGCTTCCGGTCCTTGAGAACTGGGGATGGATCCAGGGGAATCTTCTTTAGATTGCTATATATGTAGCATATACTCCAGGCTTGATTCCTCAGTAGGATTGAATACTTGGGCTGGGATTGGTGTTGTTATTGTCCGGCACAGATACCGGAAACAACAACAACTACATCGTGACCGGAATCTTCTTCCGGTCCATAAAAGACTGGAACTGCATGGAGATGCTGGGGAATCTTCTTTAAAACTGAGTATGATGTAGCATATACTCCAGGCTTTGTTCTTCACTAGGTCTTGGTTGAATACTGGGGCTGGGGTTGTTGTTCTTGCCATCCAGCACGGATGCAGAAACAACAACAACAACAACGTCGTGACCGGAATCTTCTTCCGGTCCGTAAAATACTAGAACTGCATGGAGATGCTGGGGAATCTTCCTTAGAGTATGTGTGTAGCATGTACTCCAGGCTTGATTCCTCAATAGGATTGAATACTGGGGCTGGGGTTGGTGTTGTTGTCCGACACGGATGCCGGAAACAACAACAACAACGTTCTGACCGGAATCTTCTTCTGGTCCGTAGAATATTGGAACTGCATGGAGATGCTGGGGAATCTTCCTTAGAGTATGTGTGTAGCATGTACCCCAGGCTTGACTCCTCAATAGGATGGAATACTGGGACTGGGGTTGGTGTTGGTGTTGGTGTTGTCCGGCACAGATGTGGAAACAACAACATCAATGTCGTGACCGGAATCTTCTTCTGGTCCGTAAAATACTGGAACTGATACTGAAACTGCATGGAGATGCTGGGGAATCTTCTTTAGAGTACTATGTATGTAGTTTATACTCCAGGCTTCATTCCTCAATAGGATTGAATACTGGGGTTGGTGTTGTTGTTGTCAGGCACAGATACCGGAAACAACAACAACAACAACAACAACAACAACAACAACAACAACAACAACAACAACAACAACAACAACAACAACAACAACAACAACAACAACAACAANAACAACAACAACAACAACAACAACAACAACAACAACAACAACAACAACAACAACAACAACAACAACAACAACAACAACAACAACAACAACAACAAAGTCGTGACCGGAATCTTCTTCCAGTCCGTAAAAGACTGGAACTTCATGGAGATGCTGGGGAATCTTCTTTAAAACTGAGCATGATGTAGTAGCATATACTCCAGGCTGTGTTCTGAACCAGGTCTTGGTTGGATACTGGGGCTGGGGTTGT